TTTTTTGGTCAGCCATAGGGCCTGAACTGTGGGCCAGGGCACTGTCCCTGAGCTCTTTCACTCGAGGCTAGTGCTCTACCACTTTGAGCCACAGCTCCACTTGCCATACTGGTAGATCTTTAGAGCAACTTAACTTGTTTTCCCAGCTGTAGGGGAGATAACACAGATGAAGCAATGCAATGTGGGGGAAATATACTGTATCTATCAGATGAGGAAATGATATCTAGAAAGGAATTCCTTCCCCTAGTCAGGCACGGGTTGGTTCTCGCCTGTAATCCTAGCTACTCAGAAGGCTGAGGTGATAGCACAAAGCCAGCCCAGGCAGGAAAGTCCATGAGACTCATCTCCAATTAACCACAGAAAACTGAAATTGACACTGCGGGCTCTAAGTGGTAGAGCACTAGCTTTGTGTGAAAAAGCTGAAGGATAGTACCCTGGCCCTAAGTTCATGTTCCTTGACCAGGAAAAAAAAAATTCCTTCCCCTAAGGCTGGGCTAATTCTATCTCCCACAACGCCAGGTATGTCCCACTCCCAAATTTATATCTAGCCAGTTATGGAGAAGTAGGAGCTCTGTGCAGGCCTGAGAAACCCTTTTCTAAACAAGAAAAGGAATTATAGTTTTCCCCATTATATTTGAGAAACTGATTTGCATACTGTTTGGGGGAAAACCTTAATTCCTTGTCTTATTTGTGTGTGCGTGTGTGGTGGGGGGAAGGGGGAGTGAAGGCCATAGAGCTTGAACTCAGGGCGTAGGTGCTGTTCCTAGGCCTTTTGTGCACAAGTCTACCTACCACTTCAGCTATAGCTCTAGTTCCAGCTTTTTTGGTAGTTTATTGGAGATGAGATTCTCACACTTTCCTGCCTGGGCTGGCTTTGAACTGCAATCCTCAGATCTCTACCACTTGAGCCAGGCCGCCACTTCTGGTTTTCTGGTGGTTTATTGGAATGAGTCTCACAGTTTCCTGCCTGGGCTAGATTTGAACCGTTACCTAGGATTACAGGCATGAGCCACCAGTGCCCAGCTTTAGTATTTTTTTTTTGTTGTTGTTGTTTTTTGGGTCTGGTCATGAGGCCAGAACTCTGGGCCTGGGCACTGTCCCTCAGCTCTTCAGCTCAAGGATAGCGCTCTATCACTTGAGCCACAGCACCACTTCCGGCTTCTTTCTTTTTGCTTATGTGGTGCTGAGGAATCGAACCCAGGGCCTCATGCATGCAAGGCAAGCACTCTACCACTGAGCCACCTTCCCAGCCCGGAGTTCAGTATTTTTGCAACCATATATTCCCAATTTACTTTATAAAATTATTTCCTTGGTGTGGAAATGTGCTTTTTCCCCTGTACTTTATATTATTATGCAAGCACTCAGCCACTGAGCTATACCCACTATCCCTTGGGGTTTTTTTTAACTCTATTTTTTGTCTTTTTTTTCGGTACTGGGGATCGAACCCAAGATGTTGCACTTGCTAGGCAAGCGCTTTGCCACTGAGCTACATCCCAGCACATTCCCTTGGGTTTTTTTTTTTGTTGTTTTTGGGTCCGGTCGTGGGGCCTGAACTCTAGGCCTGTGCACTGTCCCTCAGGCTCTTCGGCTCAAGGCTAGTGCTGTACCACTTGAGCCACAGTGCCACTTCCGGCTTTTTTTCCTTTTGCTCACGTGGTGCTGAGGAATTGAACCCAGGGCCTCATGTATGCAAGGCAAGCGCTCTACCACTGAGCCACCTTCCCAGTCCCTCCCTTGGGTTTTTTGAGCCAGGGCCTCACTACATATCCTGGGATGGCCTCAAAAATTGTGATCATCCTGCCTGGCATTCCTCCTTCCATTCCCCCAATTGGAGATGGATCCCAGGTATTTGCATACACAAAGTGCTATTCCAATGAGCTATAATCCAGCACCATGTTTTTGTGGTCAATTGTAGGGCTTGAACTCTTGAGCCTGGGCGCTGTCCCTGTGCTCTTCAGCTCAAGGCGAGCACTCTACCACTTGAGCCACAGTGCCACTTCCGGTTTTCTGGTGGTTTATTGGAGATAAGAGTCTCAATGGGCTTTCCTGCCTGGGTTGGCTTTGAATGGCGATCCTATCTCTGCCTCCTGAATAGCTAGGATTACAGGCGTGAGCCACCATGTTTTGTTAGTATTATGTCTTAGAAGATTCTGGGAGCCATACATGGTGACTCATACATGTAATACACTCAAGATCCCGAGATCTAAAGATCTCATTTTAAAGCCAGCACAGGAGGACAAATCCTTGAGACTCATCTTCAATTAACCAGCAAAAATCTAGAACTAGAGATGTGGCCAAGTAGTAGAGCGCTAATTGTATCAATGAGTAAGCTGAGTCAGAGCTTGAGGCCCTGAATACCGCAATTGCATTTGAGCACACAAACACAACATTCAATCATTCTTGCTGCCCAATGACGATTCCATCTTTATAGTTGGCATTTGAATCCCTTCTAATGTATTACTAGCCATACACACTATAATATATGGTGATACACAAGATCTTTTTACCTTCCCAGCTTTTAGGATCTATGTCCTGCTATTTCTGCCTCTATCCCATTTGGCTCAGAGCCTACACTAGTTACCTAACCTGAAATGACACTAGTTATTGCCTGAGAGTCCCATTAGGTATGATCTTGATCCTATGTATCTACTAGGGACAGTCAAAAGATTCCAGATACACTCTAACTTACCTAGTGAAATAACTGCTACCTGGCCAGTGTCCAGCTGTATATTGTCTCCTGCTGGGTGGGTGCTCCTTATTCTTACAGCCTTGCATAATGCATGGAACATACAATAGGGACTTGGCAAGTTTTTGTTGAATGAAAAAAACCTGCTTCTACCACTGGGCCCAGAGGCAGCAAGGCCTCAAAGACTTTCTCATTCATATTCCAAGTTCAAATTTAGAGGCATAGACCTTTGTTAGAATACATATATTGGTTAAATAGATGGTTATTGAAAAATAATTTCAGGAAGAGATTTTGGTTTCTGGCTTTATTACTAATCATTTATTGCACAGGTTTTTCTGTATCAAGATTATTTGCTGAAGGGAGAAACAAGTGTGCCTAATTTCAGACTTCCCTCAGACTCTAAAAATATCAAGTCTCTAATTTTAAAGAAAATATACTTCGTACACAAGACAATCCAAACTGATGCAAAATATTTATTCCAAGTTAGTTATTTTATGCAGTAGTTTTCCCCCCTCAAGACGTGTGATAACCACCTTTTAAATCTGTAAATAATGTTATCAAAATAATCTTAATCTTTGAAATCTCACAAAAATTTATATTTTACAATCCACCCTGAATATCAAGGCTGCAAGAATAACACAACATTTCCTAAATCCAAATATTTTACAGCTGTACCCAAAAAGGAAAAAGAAAACAAAAACAAATAACCACAAATGCTTGGTTAAGGGGCTAATGTTACCCGAGCAGCCAAAAATAAAATAAAATATCCAAATTATTAGCATTAATTTAATACAATTATAAACTTCCATAGTCACTTTGTCATTGACAATGATTGCTTGAGCACAGGTGAGTGCCCTGAGGGCTGGTAGTAGAAGCTGCTGCTGCAGACCCGTGTCTCCTCCCCTCGGTGCCTGCACTGCCAGCTCCCACTTGTGCGTCGCCCCGCATAGACTCTGTATGTGTCATTTACAAATCTTTCCCACCACACAAACTTTTCTATTAAGCAGATAACAGGGAACAAGAACAAAAGCTAAGCAAGCCAACTGCTCTCTCTTTGGGATATGATTATTTCCCTTGTGCACAACATATTCAACAATGTAAGAAAAGGAAAAGAACCATCTCTTGTGTGCACCCATTCCCGAAGCACACGGCCAGTTTGCGAGGTCAGACCAACTGCCAGTGCGTGCGCCTACTTCCAGGCCTCATCATCCGATGTTTCACTGCTACTTGTCTCTGTGTCTGAGTCCTCAAACTCTGGTTTACAAGCATTTCTCCAAGGAGAGAACAGGCTGGAACTGCGGCCCTGCCAGTAGCCATTCTTTCCAAAGCCATTTCTTCTCAGCTGTGATTAGCATGCAAGAGAAAGAAAAATGAAAACCTATTAACAAAACACTGGCCCATAAGAATTGGTTAAGGCAAGGCCTCAATTTGGTTGGAGATAGTTATGGTATAACTGGTACAAAAGGCAAGGCTTCTGAAAATTCCCAATCTTCTAAAAAAGTGCTTTTCAAACATTAATGGTGTGTCTAAAAATCTTTTTTTTAGTCGGTCGTGGGGCTTGAACTCTGGGTTTGGCCAGTACTCTACTGCTTGAGCCACAGCGCCACTTCCAGTTTTCTAGTGGTTTTTATTGGAGATAAGAGTCTCACGGACTTTCCTGCCCAGGCTGGCTTTGAACCGCGATCTTCAGATCTCAGCCTCTCGAGTAGCTAGAATTACAGGCATGAGCCACCAGCGCCTGGCTCATCTAAAAATCTTTTTAAAAGTCACATTCTTGGGCTGTGAATATGGCTTAGTGGTAGAGTGCTTGCCTACTAGCATGCATGAAGCCCTGGCTTCAATTCCTCAGTACCACATCAACAGAAAAAGCTGGAAGTGGCGCTGTGGCTCAAGTGGTAGAGTGCTAGCTTTGAACAAAAGAAGCCTAGGGACAGTGTCCAGGCCCTGATTTTAAGCCCCAGGACTGGCTTGAAAAAAAGAAAAGAAAAAATCACATTCTGGTCAGATGCCAGTGGCTCATGCCTGTAATCTTAGCTACTCAGGAAGCTGCCATCTGAGAGGATCATGGTTCAAAGCCAGACTGGGCAAGAAAGACCATGAGACTTGGAGCTATGGCTCTACTAGCTTTGAGCAAGAAGCCCAAGGACAGTGCCCTAGGCCTTGACTTCAAGTCATAGGATGAGAAAAAAAAAAAAAAAAAAAGGAGAATGAAATGCAAAGTCACATTCTGGTTCAGAATGTCTGGGGCAGGTTGAGTCTATTTTTTGGGGGGTGGGGAGAGAAAATCTATCCTGGGGCTCAAGGTTAATACTTCTATTACTTGAGCCACAGCTCCACTTTGTTGGTAGTTAATTGGAAAAAAAAAAAAAAGTCTTAGGGAAGCTGGCTACCGATGATCTCACACCTGCAATCCTAGCTACTCAGACTGATGAAATCTGAGGATCATGGTTCAAAGTTAACCCAGGGAAGACAGTCCATGAGACTCTTTTCTCCAATTCACCACCAGAAAACTGGAAGTGGTGCTGTGACTCAAGTGGCAGAGCGCTAGCCTTGAGTGGAAAAGTTAAGAGACAGCGCCCAGGCCCTGAGTTCAAGCCCCAAGACTGACAAAAAACAAAAAAGATCTCATGGACTTTCCTTCGTGGGCTGTCTTCTAACTTTTACCCTCAGATCTCAGCCTCCTGAGTAGCTAGAATCACAGGTACCCAGAGAGACTCCTTATTTCTAGGAGTTCTGAGTGGTTAGACCTTATCAGTCCAATCTTTGAACCAAGTTACTTTCTAGTATCTCCTGTCACTGGCCTGGTTTGAATAACCACCAACTGGAAATTTTTGCGCAGGTAGTTTGAGGACCCTTCCTTTTCCAGTATGGTAATTTGTACTTTCTTTTGCAAAGTCTTTCTCTCACTTTAAGCTGGGGCTTCCTAATGGAAGGGACTGGTTCTCTTTTCTTGTCTCTAGGGAAGGTTTATAACATACCTGCTCGGTCTTCATGTGGAATTCTTTGAGCTCATCCTCTGTGAGAGGAAGACAACTCTCATCATTTTCAGGATATTCCTGCCACCCCATAGCTTTCAATAATCTGTTGAAAGCAAAAGGACAGGTAAGACTAGACACCAGTAGGTAAGCCTCCATGGGCAGAGCACCACTGTCCACTGCCAACTCTTGACCATGAGCAACGGATGGGAGAAGGAACTTTTCCAGTGTGACAAGGTACTCAAGGGCTCGTAATTCAATGGGAACTTTCTGTAACAGTTAAGAAAATGAGCAATTTGAATAAACAAAGGCCAAAATCAAGACAGTACAAACAGCCCTGTGCCAATGTCAAGTCCATTGTCTTATGATTAAAATAGAAGAAATTTTTGTTCTCTGTGAGCACTTTAGCTTATTTCTACATGTATGTAAAGTCTCTTCCTACTTCATAGCATAGTAGCTTCTCTTGAAACCACTGAAATTTCTCTGAACATGAGCCCCCTTTTAGGAAGGTACTACGTATCATACTTCATAGTCTCCATTTGTCACACAGTTGCCCAGATGTACCTTAAAGCTTTCATTCAAGGAACATATTCCATGAACAGAATTTCAGGCTTTATAAAGCCCCTTTATATTTTTAGTTGGTCAGTGGGCCTGAACTCTGGGCCTGGGGCTGTCCCTCAGCTCTTCAGCTCAAGGCCAGCGCTCTACCACTGGAGCCACAGCGCTACTTCTGGTTTTCTGGTGGTTTATTGGCAATAAGAGTCTCAAGGAGGTTGGGCGGGCACTGATGGCTCACACCTGTAATCCTAGCTACTCAGGAGACTGAGATCTGAGGGTTGTGGTTCAAAGCCAGCCCAGCAAGAAAGCCCGTGAGACTCTTCTGTCCAATAAACCACTCAGAAAACTGGAAGCGGTGCTGTGGCTCAAGTGGTAGACGCCAGCCTTGAGCTGAAGAGCTGAGAGACAGTGCCTAGGCCCAGAGTTCAAGTCCCACAACAGAAAAAAAAAAAAAAAAGTCTCATGGACTTTCCTGCCTGAGCTCGCTTTGAACAGTGATCCTCACATCTTAAGTCTCCTTAGTAGCTAGGATTACACGCATGAGCTACTGGCAGTTGGCCTTACAAGGATTATATGGTAATTGCTATTGTAGGCCAGCACAATTCCTTGAAAGAAGATCCCTTCTCCCTTTTCTATCTGAGGGTTTAAGCTGACCGTGAAATTAAGAATAAATGAAAACATTAGATATTGTGGAAAAGGCTGTTTATGTCGACCCAGACTAACTGCCTTGTTTGTTCAGACTCCTTGCAGGCCATACAGGAATAGCATTCCTACCGATGTCATCCATACCTATGTTCTGCTTCCAGGGAGTGGGAGAGGACCTCTCTTTCTTCTGAAATGGGGAGAGAAAGACCATTCTGAAGACAGCTTCCCTCTCCAATTTCCTTTGGTTCAGATGTGCTATTATCCTCCAACTACAATAAAGAAAAGGAAGAACATTGGCTTAATGATTATAGGAAAACAAGGCAAAATTATGGAGTTAGCACTTAACACAGTGCTTTCATTTCGAGCATTTAAAAATGGGGGCTTGCTATAACAATGTGATTTTGAAGTTTATAGAATAGGAAAAGCTCTAGAACAGCCAATGAAGTTGGAGGATTAACGATTACCTAATTCATAATCAAGATACCAAATACATATGAACAAATCTTTTTTTTTTTTTGTCTGTTGTGGGGCTTGAACTCTGGGCTTGGACGCTATCCCTCAGCTCTTCAGCTCAAGGCAGCACTCTACCGCTTGAGCCACAGTGCCACTTCTGGTTTTCTACTGGTTTATTGGAGGTAAGAGTCTCAGAGACTTTCCTTCCCAGGCTGGCTTTGAACCATGATCCTCAGATCTCAGCCTCCTCAGTAGCTAGGATTACAGGTCTGAGCCTCGGGCACCCGGCCAAACAAATTTTAAACTCAACAATAAAACAAAGAAAACTGGCAAAAGACACGAACAAAAGACACATTGAACATCATGTCACCAGGGAAATGTAAATAAAAGAAGGATACTACTACATTCCTGTTGCTGTTCACACAGTGAGACCTGGGAATGCAGTACCTAGTAGGCAGAGAGTGGACCATACGTTGGAGGTAACAAGTTTATTAAAAGCACTGCATGCTTATATATAGCATAGACAAAAAGAGTTAATCTTTAGTCAGCAAATGGAAAGTTAATCTCCATCAACAAACTTGAAAGTTTTATGTGATCAAAGGTTAAAGAAAATAAGCAAAGTGTAGGTGATTTTTCTTATACATAGAGTGTCAGGGAGTGTTATGAGGACATTCGGAGGAGGAACAAAGCCTCCATCAAGTGGGTTCTACATGATTTACAATTCCATTGTATAAACGCCATCGAACAGAAGAATTACTAGTACACCAATCACCAACAAGTTTTTCAGAACATGGGCGATGAAACACCAATGGAGGCGCCCAATTTATATGAAATATTATTATTATGCTGTGTAATTTTTCCTCTAGGGCTGTGGCACTGAGACCACTGAATAGGAATGTAAACCCAATTCCAATATTTAATGCCCTGGCATATAGGGTTGGCTGGTCACCCAGTCTTATTTATATAAGAATGATTCTGAACAATATAATCTAAGAAAAGCAATTATAGTGTGTTCCTTCCTCAGCTGGATGAGTGTGACCTGCAGGGTCCCACGGTGGAGGAAAATACACACTGTCATTAATATATACCACCAGGCCAGGATCTAGCCAATCAATCTACTAATCTTAAAAAAGGTGGGTGAGGGGGCTTGGAATGTGGCTTAGCAGTAGAGTGCTTGCCTAGCATGCATGAAGCCCTGGGTTCCATTCCTCAGTATCATATAAACAGAAAAAGCTAGAAGTAACGCTGTGGGTTAAGTGGTAGAGTGCTAGCTTTGAGCACTAAGAGGCTCAAGGACAGAGCCTAGACCCTTAGTTCAAGCTTCAAAACTGGCAAATAATAATAATTAAAAATTTTTAAAAAATGGTGGATGAGGGACATAGGCCCAATACACATGTTCACTACTCACCACAGAAATACAGGCAAGCAGTGCGACCATGGCCAAAAACAGATGTTCAGATGTTCTAGGGCTTTTAGTACTGACCAAAATGCCTTCTCCCTTCTCTGACAACGCCTTAGTCTGACCCCATGTTGGTAGCATCTGGCTGGTTTTCTTGCAGTAAGGACGATAGCATCATTGGGTCTTCACATTTAGGCCTGCAAAGCGATGTGTTAATTCTTCTTCCTTAGGTTTAGGTTGTACTATTGTCATCCTTCTGGGGTCAGATGAACCAAAGAGGAACCCACACATTGCTGGCGGATCCATCTGGAATGATAGAAGCATACCCTTTCCCGCTATGAGTCATTAGTCCTGGTTTCCATTGATCAAATTATTCTTGTTTTTTTTTTTTTTTTTTTTTTCTTGGTTGGTCATAGGGCTTGAACTCTGGGCCTGGGTGCTGTCCCTCAGCTCTTCAGCTCAAGGTGAGTGCTCTCCCACTTGAGCCACAGTACCACTTCCGGCTTTTTCTGCTTATGTGGTGCTGAGGAATCAAACCCAGGGCCTCATGCATGCAAGGCAAGCACTCTACCACTAAGTCACCTTTCTAGCCCCACATTGGTCAAATTCTTTAAACCGTATAGGAGTATGATACTGAGATGAAGATGGAAAGGTAAAATGCTTTTCAGCACTAGTGTAAGGATCACCTTGAGGTAGATTTAAAAAATTTAGAGTAAACAGGTTAAGGCAAGAGGTTTCCCTTGGGGTTCCCCCTTTTTTGTTTTTTAATAATTGAAGCTTCTGTATTTTATGGGCTTGTTCCACGATGGCCTGGCCCTGAGGATTATATGGAATGTCAGTAATATGTTTAATTTGCCATTCCCTGCAGAATGCAGCAGAGCACTTCTTACTTGTATAAGAGGGACCATTATCCGTTTTTATGGCATGAGTAAGGCCCCTAACAGGAAAAGTAAGTGTAAGGGCGGTAATGGTTGCTTGGGCTGATTCTGAGGCATGGGCACTGCTCATGTAAATAAGGTTGTTTGGGAAATCAGGTAGTATGAGTAAGGTCTATATGCCAGAAAGTGTTACTGGAATCTCCTTGTAGGTTTGCACTGGCTGAGTGAGAAGTATAATGTAATAGAGCACAAACATTACAGTCTTGAACAATGGGGTGGGTGTGGTGAAGGGGAATGTGGTATTGGGCATGTAAAATGGTTGGTATTCTAGGTACTGCCCATTGCCTGCGGGCAGCATGTTTAAAATAGGTTATATGCAACATTTAACTCTTATTTATTTATTTTTGTTGGTCTTGGGGCCTGAACTCTGGACCTGGGCGCTGTCCCCCAGCTCTTCAGCTCAAAAGGTGAGCACTCTACCACTTGAGCCACAGCGCCACTTCTGGCTTTCTGCGTATGTGGTGCTGAGGAATCAAACCCAGGGCCTCATGCATGCAAGACAAGCACTCTACCACTGAGCCACCTTCCCAGTCCAGCCCCACATCATTTAACTCTGAACAAATGCACAGACCTTTTTGAGCCAAAGCATCATAGCCTGTTTATCACACTCTGCTTTGCAAAAGCATTTTTCTAGCCAGGTGCTGATGGCTCACACCTGTAATCCTAGCTATACAGGAGGCTGAGATCTAAGGATCACAGTTCAAAGCCAGCCCAGGCCAAGAAAGTCCATGAGACTCATCTCCAATAAACTACCAGAAAACTGAAAGTAGCACTGTGGCTCAAGTGGTAGAGCCCTCACCTTCAGCTGAAGAGCCAAGAAACAGTGCCCAGAGCCATAGTTTGCCCACGACTGACAAAAGAAAAGGCATTTTTCTGGCTGGCTGAGGAAAGCTGATCTGTTGTGTCCCTAACAATGCCTAAGTTACCTGTATAGGCCATTAGACACAACTCAGAAGGGACATCATCTCAGGTCCACAAACTCTTTCCTTAACAAGTAAATTTATGTGGCTGGTGCCAGCTCAAAATTCACTGCCAATTAGGGACTTTAGCAGACACAGGGGGTTTGGGATTTAAGCTATCCCCCACATTCTATAACCTTAGCTTTTTACTACCTGCTATCACAGATCTGACACCATTTCTGCCATCCACGCAGTTGCTTGTAATTGCCTCTGGATATTCCAACATTGCCAGGTCACTTGAGTGCCTTTCTCTATACTGGGATAAATGCACCTTTGGCATTTCCCTTGGTCTGTCATCAGACTTGAACTCCAGTCCTGAGTGCTGTCCCTCAGCCTTCCAGCTCAAGGCTAGCACGCTACTACTTTGAGCTCCAAAGCAACTGTCTGCTTTTTTAGCATTCTGCTGTCATTAGAGATGACAGTCTCACAAGGACCTTTCTCTGCCTGGGCTTGTTTTGATCTGCAGTTTTCAGATTAATGTTTACCCCAATTAAAAGCAACAAGGTGGACATTGCAAGTAGTTTTTTATTGTTGTTGTTTTTTTTTTTTGGTCGGTTGTGGGGCTTGAACTCTGGGCCTGGGCACTGTCCCTCAGCTCTTCAGCTCAAGGGGAGCGCTCTACCACTTGAGCTACAGCGCCACTTCCTGCAAGTAGTTTTTTAATCATATGCTCTGCTTGTTTACTTTTTTTTTTTGTTGGTCATCAGGCCTGAACTCTGGGCCTGGAACGCTGTCCCTCAGCTATTCAGCTCAAGGCTAGTACTCTACCATTTGAGCTGCAGTGCCACTTCTGGCCTTTTCCGTTTATGTGGTGCTGAGGGCCTCATGGATGCAAGGCAAGCACTCTACCACTGAGCTGCCTTCCCAGCCCTATAAGCATGCCCTTACCTGGAACTTACTAAGGGCCAAAGTTACACCTGATAATCCTGTAAGACTCCTCTGTGGGCCTGCTGTAAAACCTATGAGGATAGACTGGAATAGCAATCAAACGATCATTCTGATCTAAATTTTTTTTTCACTTTGAAACAAACATTTACGACAGTTTTACTTCCAAAATTCATCTCCAGGAATCCATTCTTGATTTTAAAAGCCCTTTACTAAGCTGAGCGCCAGTGGCTCACGCCTGTAATCCTGGCTACTCAGAAGACTGAGATCTGAGGATCGCAGTTCAAAGCCTGCCCAAGCAGGAAAGTCCCTGAGACTCTTATCTCCAATAAACCACTAGAAAATCAGAAGTGGTGCTGTGGCTCAAGTGGTAGAGCGTGTGCTTTGAGCTGAAAAGTTGAGGGACAGCACCCAGACCCAGAGTTCAAGACCTACGACTGACAAAAAACAAAAACTTGCTTTCATTTACATTTAAAGAACCTCTTGTTATCTGGAGGGGCTAAGTAACATCTATTGCCTTTTGGCTTCTTGGTTTTTTTTTTTTTGCCAGTTGTGGGGCCTGAACTCTGGGCCTGGGTGCTATCCCTCAGCTCTTCAGCTCAAGGCTAGCGCTCTACCACTTGAGCCACAGCACC